GCTGGGAATTGAACTCAGGATCTCTGGAAGAGTGCTTTTAACCCCTGCACCATTTCTCCAACCCCTGTCAGGGAACTTGGAAAAGATGAAGCACCCCTGTAACCCTAGCACTCAGGATACAGAGACAGAGGATCACAAGTTCAAGGTTGGCTTGCTCTCTGTAATAAGACCTTCTTTCAGAATAAAAAAGAAAGGGAAAGAATGCCAGGTGGGGCGGCGGCGCAAACCTTTAATCCCAGCCCTTGGAGGCAGGAGTAGGAGAATCTCTTGAGTTTGAGGCCAGCCTGGTCTCCAGAGCAAGTTCCAGGACAGGCTTCAAAGCTACACAAAGAAACCTTGTCTTGAAAAACCAAAAAGGAAAGGAAAGGAAAAGGAAAGGAAAAGAACCTATTGTGAGTATATATCATTTTGTTTTCTTTTTGGTTTTGTGAGACTGGATCTCTTGTACCCCATGCTAGTCACAAACTCATTCTGTAGCAGAGGCTGGCCTGGAACTTCTGATTCTCCTAGTACTACCTCCTAAGTGTAGGGGTTACTGACAAGCGACCAAGCCTATAGAGTCAGTTTCAGTTGTGTATCCTCTTTGGGGCGTTTTATGGGTTTAGCTTACTCCTCAAGCTGACCCCCATTCTTTGATAAGAAACAGGCTCTGAGAATAGGAAAGGATTCTTCTCAAGTCCAGAGCCAATGAATGGTGCTTCCGGGACTTGAGGCTGATGCCACAGCAAATTCTTAATTCACTACTGTTTGAGGACTTATCTGCCCTGTTTTCCCTGTTAGCCATTTTCAGCCTCCCTGTGTGAGAAGCACTGGATGTAACAACTGGGTCCAGGGTGGGCATGTTTGGGAGTGTCTAGGTTTGACCTCTTTCTCATTCTCACAGGCTAGTCAAGAACCTGTTTGAGTTGGCCAGGCAACACAAGCCTTCCATCATCTTCATTGATGAGGTGGATTCCCTCTGTGGGTCACGGAATGAAAATGAGAGCGAAGCTGCCCGCAGGATCAAAACAGAGTTCTTGGTCCAGATGCAGGGTGTGTGCTGGTGCCTTATAACTCCTTGGCTGTCTTCCACTTAAAGCCAGCCCAGGGCTCCATTATGTAGCTGCACTGGGTACGATGGAGGAGAGGCACTTGTGATGCCATCTCTGCCAGCCTTATATGGGCTTGCATCAAAGAGAGGGCTCTGAGGCCTTTGCCATATCATCTCTCCATCCTTCCCAGAGCAGGTGATGCTTTAGTTCTCTACCCAGGAAAGCCCCAGGGCATTAGTTTCTCATGGGTCCCAGCTGCCTCTGCAGGCATCTTCAGTTGCTTCTGTGTCTCCCATTCTCCACAGGAGTAGGGAATAACAATGATGGGACTCTTGTTCTTGGTGCCACAAACATCCCCTGGGTGTTGGATTCAGCCATTAGGAGGAGGTGAGTCTAAACTAGGAGCTTAGGGCTGATATCTTTGTCTAACAATGGTCCATTTTGCTACTAGTTGTCTGCCCCCATTTCTCTGGAATCCTTCATGTCTGCATGTCAAGCAGAGCCATTGCTAAAGTTGGGTAGTGGTCCTGGATCACTCATTTTAATATGCATGCTGCCATTTCCTGTCACATCATACTGTGATCAGCTCTCATTTGATATCATGCATATATCTCTCCAGGTTTGAAAAGCGAATTTATATCCCATTACCAGAGGAAGCGGCCCGGGCCCAGATGTTTCGGTTACATCTGGGAAGCACACCTCACAACCTCACGGATGCTAACATCCACGAGCTGGCCCGGAAGACAGAAGGCTACTCAGGAGCTGACATCAGCATCATTGTGCGGGACTCCCTCATGCAGCCCGTTAGAAAAGTACAGTCAGCAACACACTTCAAGAAGGTGGGTGGCAGCAGTGGCTTAGGCAGCGTCAGCAGTCAGGAGGTGGAGTAGCCTCTGGTTTTTTTCACCAGCTTCCTGACTACTAAAGGTACATACTCAAAAACAATAAACACAGGCTGAGGTCCAAGTGGGTTAATGTGATTTTAGAAGTGCATAATGACAGCATGCTTTTCCAGCTGCTGGTCTCTAGAATCTCCCTGTCGCCCCGGTGTAGACCCATCATCCTCAAGTGTGTGCGTATCAAGATCAAAGGGTAACTTTCAGATGTTGGTTCTGTCCTTCTGCCATGTGGATCAGGGAGAGCAAACTCATGTCATCAGGCTTGGTTACAGGTGCCTTTACCATCTCACTAGCTGGAATTGTTTTGAGACAGTTTCAATTAGTCCAGGTCAGCTGCAAAGTCTCCCTGAGGTCTAAGATGACCCAAAACTCAAATATCCTACCCATACCTCCTAGGTGTTGAGATCACAGGTGTTTGCCACCAGAGGGTTCTTATTTGTCTTGTTTTAAAATACTATTGTGTGAGTGGGGTCAGTATGTATAGGTGCCATGTTTTAGAGGTAAAAGTCAACTTTGAACTTGGCTCTCTTCTATTTTCACATGGGTTCCATAGATAGAACTCCGTCATCAGGTGGCTTGCATGGCAAGTGCCTTTACCCCACTGACATCTTTCAGACCTCAGACCTGAGGGTTTTTTTTTTTTTTTCCAGACAGAGTTTCTCTGTATTGTTTTGGAGTTTGGAGGCTGTCCTGGAACTTGATCTGTAGACCAGGCTGGCCTCAAACCCTTAGAGATTCGCTTGCCTCTGCCTCCCAAGTGCTAGGATTAAAGGTGTGCACCACCAACTCCCGTCCGACCTGAGGGTTTTTGTTTTTAAACTGTTGACAGTCTTATTAATGGAATTTGATGGAAAATTGTTGACCCAGTATAACATTCCATACTTACTTGGTGGAATGCTATAAAGCCATACAACTTGATTTCTCCTCCCATAAATCTTATAATAGATCAGACCTGAGTTTTAAAGGAGCTTTGCCCTCCTCCAGCATTGATGGCCTAGAAACCCCAGTGTTCCATTGAGGCTATCCTTCGGTCCTTAGGTTTACTAGTGTTCCGTTGAGGCTATCCTTCGGTCCTTAGGTGTACTAGTATTCCGTTGAGGCTATCCCTTTCGGTCCTTAGGTATACTAGCACTAAGGTCGGCTGCCACACCAGCCTGACAGTCTCTGCTTGGTTTCAGGTTTGTGGTCCTTCACGCACCAACCCGAGTGTTGTGATTGATGATCTTCTGACCCCATGTTCTCCAGGGGACCCAGGGGCCATAGAGATGACTTGGATGGATGTCCCTGGTGATAAACTCTTAGAGCCTGTGGTTTGCATGGTAAGTGGCCCACTGGGAGAGAACCAGAAAATCCTTAATACTGGGAACCTGAGTCTAAGGATAAAAGTGAGCATCTTCCTATTGTCCTGGTTTGTAGCCCTCCCAGAGAGTAAGTAGCCTTTGGGGTTGGGGGTGGCTGAGGTTTTTGCTGAGACGCTGGGAACCTTTAAGAGGCAGTCCAGACACTAATTGTCATTCCAAGGACTGGCTTTTTGGTCCAGAAGGAACCAGTGAAAATCTTTTCACATGGGTCTTATTCGAACAGTCTAGATCTCTCCTAGTTTTGTTAGTTATGGTGCCTGTTGTCCCCTAGCAGCTGCCTGCACTGTGGATGAATACAGTAATGGAAACTACTGATGGGATGGGATGAGATTTGGCGTGAAGTAGTCTTTCAGATGGAAAGGTGTGTGGACATGAGAGGCAGTCTGCACTAGGGGTGACCTAAGAGGCAGCCTCTTGTCAATCTAGACAGCACAACTAGAGAAGAGGCACTGAGGACCTGGAATCAGCTGTTTTTCAGCTGCATGCTTGTGTCTCTCTGCAGTCGGACATGCTTCGGTCTTTAGCCACTACCCGGCCCACAGTGAATGCAGAGGACCTCCTGAAAGTAAAGAAATTCTCTGAGGACTTTGGACAAGAGAGTTAAAGCTTCATGTTGATAATGAAATTGGGAGTTTGACTGGAGCAAATTCATGGGACTTCCTACACCAGTGGCCAGGCAGGGCCTGAAGTCCTGAAGTCACTAGAATCTCCTCTGCTGCCTGGCTGCCGACCTAGTGGGATGATGGAAGAGCTTCCACCACTGCAGAGATGCTTCACCATGTAGGACACTTGGACACTGGTTCTGCATACTCCTGGATGCTCACAGTCCTTGCCCTGATCTTTTTTTTTTTTTTTTTTTTTTTTTTAACTTTTGTTCCCCTAAATTAATGCTGCTTTGATTTCTGTCTTGTTTATAAATAAAGAGAAAAATGATCTGGAAGTGTTAAGGGGTGGGAGCCACCAGGCCCCTGCTCCCACTCCTTTCAAGTTTGGCTACTTAACAGTTGACCATAAGAAGCAGGAAAAGCCATCCCGCCCCAAGTTTGCACCTGGAGCTTCCAGTCTTCCTTGCAGGAGCTGATGACTTCTGTGAGCACAAAGCTGTTTCCATCAGGAGAGAAGACAGGCAGGCAGGTCTTTATTGCTGCCTTCACTGACTGAGAACTGAGCCCAGCCTCTGCTGGTCCTGTTCAGGAGATGTCTAATAAACACTTTTCCTTTCTTGAGCCACTGGAGTCCTTCGTTTTTTATTCTAGTATGGGATTTGTGAGAGTGAAGCTTGTTTCTGGTAAGGCACGCTTCATTGTTTTCTTTCCTTAGCAGGGCAGGAAGTAGGAGTGCTCATCAGGCCTGCTGTCCAGTCTAGTGACAAGGCCTCCATGCCTTAAGCTCAGAAGTGTGGCTGTAGTTTTGCTCTTTTTTGTTTTGAGACAGCATTTCAAGTAACTTAAGCAGACTCTGGACTCACTATGTAGAGGAGAATGACCTTAAACTCCTAATCCTCCAGCTTCCAGCTCCCAAGTGCTGAGATAGGAGTGAGTTGTGATGTTGGATCTCTGTTCCCATGAGGCAACCTCATAACTACTACTGAACAGATGCTGCCCAGTTTAGAAGCTTCCCAGATAAAGCAGCCCTGGAGATGCTGTGTGATAGAGATCATAGTACAGGCATGTACACACACTGAAGGAAACACTCTAAATTCCAAAAACCAGTATTCTTCTGTATTTTACTTCCTGATGCTAGGAATCAAACCTAGGTCCCTCCACATTAAGTACTATTGTTCCCATGAGTTTTATATGCTCCCAGCTGTAAGTGGGAGCATATATGTAACTTGAAAATCTGAAAGGGCCAGAAAATGATTCTGTAGCCAAGATTATGATGGCCTTTCACTGCTTCTTTGCTCTGATTGAAAGTGGCTGAGTGAAGCTTTGGTTGGTTTTTAGAGTGTGTGTGTGTGTGAGACACGCCTGTGGTGGACAGGAGGCGGCACTTAACTCCCTGGAGCTGGAGATACATGCATAGTGAGTTAGTCTGATGTGGGTGCTCAGAACTGCAGCCTTTTGCAAAAGCAAGTACTTTGTTGTTGTATTTTTTTCAAGACAGGGTTTCTCTGTGTAGCCCTGGTCATCTTTAGAACTCATTCTGGAGACCAGGCTGGCCTCGAACTCAAGAGATTCACCTGCCTTTGCTTCTCAAGTGCTGGGACTAAAGAAGTGCACCATCACTGTCTGAAAAGCAAGTACTCTTTAGCCTGTCAAGACATCTCTTCATGACTGGAGCTAACTTTTTTTTTTTCTTTTTAAGACAGTCTCACTATGTAACGTACCTCTGGGTGGCCTCAGATATCAGACTGCCTCTGCCCCCAGAGTGCTGGAATTAAAGGTGTGCCCACCACAGCCAGATTTTACTTGTATGTTAAAACAACTTTCGGATATTTGGACTGTATTATTATCAAGCATGGCTGTGAGGGTAGAATATATGTGCCTCGTGAGTCACCTGTACTGAGAATGTTTACCTGCCCACGTCTTTCCATGTAAGACTGCCCGGAAATACCCACTCCCTCGTCATTATTTCTATTCATGCTGTAACAGAGCTCTGTCTAAATCTGATTCAGGACAAGCAAGTCCCATCATCTTCCTTTATCTCATTTCGGCACATACCAGCAGTCCACTGTTTATGGTCAGAACAATTCCAAGTTGAAGCACAAAAAGATGTGCCCATCTTAACATGGAGTGTCTGCATGCCAGTTTTCCAGACCCTCAGTCAAGCAACAGAGCTTCAGTCATTTACCTCCATCCAGTGGAGATTGGTAAATGTCCCACTGTCCATTTTGTCAATGAACAAGCAGCCCTGCAAATGATCCATTTCATGCTGGATGATTCGGGCTGTCCACCCACTTGCTGACCACACCACTGGCTCTCCTCTTGGGTTCAGTCCTGCAAAAGAAGTTACAGGCTGGCTGAGGTGGGGCTTTGCTGAATATGCTTAACCTCCTCCTGTCCCTACTTCTGATTTCTGCCCTGGCCATGCCTATTTACATCCTATCTACAGAGGCAACGCCAGAAAGTGAATGTGAACGATAGCTCTTATCGATCCTAGAAAGGATGCCTCAACTTTGTTTAGTGCCAACTTTTTTCTTAAGATTTTACTATGTATACAGTCTTCTGCCCGCATGCCAGCAGAGGGCACCAGATCTCATTCAAAGTGGTTGTGAGCCACCATGTGGTTGCTGGGAATTGAACTCAGGACCTCTGGAAGAACAGTCGGTACTCTTAAGCGCTGAGCCATCTCTCCAGCCCAGTGCCAACTTTTTTTATTCAGCCAATTCCCAGCTCTACTATAGGGCAAGGATAAGAAATTCTCTTGTTGAGGCACTTCCCTCCTCAAAGCTCTTCTCAGGTGCTGTTTACCAAAGATAATTAAGCTTGGGACAGTAGCAAATAACCACAGTCTACAAAACAATGTGGACGATAGGCATGGAATGATTTGTTGCCCTAGTCTGGATAAAGTTGGGTCCCACTTTCTTACACAAGTCCACTATGAGTGATTAAACTAGGAACGTGTAATACAGACACACATATATGAGAATCTATATATATATATATATACCTATGAGAGAGGAGAGACACAGACCCCAATCTAAATAGTCTCCCTGGTTGGCACCCTGCTTGGCACCCCATGTAAGCGGGTTTTGCCTTGCTCTTCAGGAGTGCTGTCTGTCAGCCCTGAGTTTCCTGAGTTACCGTGTCCTGCTGTGTTTGCAGTCTCCGAATAGGAAGAGCATGGCCACCCCGCCGCCCCCGTCCCCTGGACCTGAGATCTGCACGGCCTGGAAGCGAGGCACACACGCCAGGAAACCGGCGACGCTCTCGCAGCCCTCGGGGAAGGTGACCAAGCGGCTGTCCAGCACCCTCAGGCTGGGGTTCACCAGCACGTGAAGCGGAAAGGGCTCCATCTGACGCAGCTCGCGCAGGC